GGCCTCCCGCCAATATCCACTTGATGCGCCACGTGGGTGCTGCGGCCCCAGGTGAGCCTTCAGATGACAGCAGCCCCTGCTCACATCCTGATTGCAACCAGGTGGGAAACCCCGAGCCACTCCTAAATTCCTGACCACAGAAACTGTTTTCAGCCACTAAGTTTTGGAGTAATTTACATAGCACTAGAGAATTGCACTTGGCCTCCCAGCAAGAAGTGCTTCATGCCCTCTCAGAACCCGCTGTGGCACTGGCCATTATAACATAACCTGTCTCATAATTAAGATCAAGTACTCTAGAAGTTGGTCCCTTGCCTCATACTTACTTCCAGCATCCAGTTCATGCCCTAAAGGTGCGTAAAAGGGCGAGGTTATCTGATTGACCAGCGGAAGTGCACTGTCTTAAGAATATACCTAAAAAGACTTTTCTGATGGCCAGTTTGCATGGATAACAGAGTGAGCTGGATTTGGGGGTGATTCAGGGGAGCTTCTTGGATACACTTGGGAATGAATCGGCCTGCATATCCAGGGGCTGTCTGCAGGCCCAAAGTCTGTGTACCTGAGTCTCTGGACCCACTCTGTTATGAATTGGGGGAGGCAAAGACAGGACTGCCAGGGCCTCCCCTTACGTGTCCAAGTCTTAAAAACATTGACTAATTGCAAAAATAATTTATAATTATTGTGGGAAATTAAAATAAAATACTAAAAAGCAAAAAGGGAGAAAAAAAATCATCCTTACCCTTTACCTCATTTTGCAGATGTATCATTCAAGATATTTTTCTCTGGAGGGGTGATACATATATATTCATGCGGTCTTATATGTATAAATGCAAACATGTTTTTATGTTTAGTTGCAAAAAGTGGCATCATCTTATTTGAAACCCCATTTTTCTCACTTAGCAATGCATCGTGAATCTTTGTGCTTGCATAATCAACACAGATCTCCTCTCATGTTGTTTCGTATGGGCATGCTCCCTGGCATTATTTACTTTTTCCCCCTCACTGGTGGGTACTTTTTTCCCCTACTTTTTGGCCTATAAATAATACTGCAACAAACATCTTTGTATGTGTGTCCTTGTGCTGTTGCCCAGATATTGTTTTAGGGTAAATTGCCTAGAGCAGGTTCATTGGACCAAAGGATGTGAAAATTTTAAAGGCTTTGGACACAGTGCCAAATTGTCCTTTAGAAAGATTGTACCAAGTGTGCACTTACCTATGGTTCCTGTGTCCTTGCCAACATTGGCCAATCTGATGGATGAAAGATGTTGTCTTATTATCTTAATTTCTTAAATAGAGAGGTTGGGCATGTTTCCATGAGTTTATTGGTCATTTCATGTTTCTCTTTTAGCAGTTTGTTCATGTCCTTTGCATGTTGTTCTTCCTCTGTCACCTGGGCTAGAATGCAGTGGCATCATTGTAGCTCACCGCAACCTCAAATCATCAGCCTCAGCCTCCTGAGTAGCTGGGACTACAGGTGCCTGCCACCATGCCCAGATACCTTTTGTATTTTTTTGTAGAAATGTGGTCTCACTGTGTTGCTCAGGCTGGTGTTGATCTCCTGGCCTCAAGCAATCCTCCCACCTCAGCCTCCCGGAGTGCTGGGATTATAAAGATGGGAGTCACCATGCCTGGCTCACATTTTTCTGATTTCCTTAGAAAACTTATTTATTTTAATTTAATTGTGCAAGTAATGTGGTCTACAGATTTCTGAAGTAGGCCTAATATATAAAGCAAAACCCCCTTCACCACTCTTGTCTCCTTGATATAGTCACTTTTTGATAGTTTGAGGTGTTTTCTTCCAGATCATTTGCTATGCATTTATAGATATGGATGTAGGTAGCTATAGGTTTTGTTTTTAAAGTTGTTGTTATAAAAGTGGGATCATATTGAATATATTATTCTCTGATTTGCTTCCCCTCCCTGCAACTCATTATGTGTTAGAGAGCATCTTATATAAGTAATATAAATCTCTTGCTTTCTTTTTGAATGGTTGCATAGTTTTTTTGAGAAAGGGTCTCATTCTGTCACCTAGGCTAGAGTGTGGTGGCATCATCATAGCTCACAGCAACCTCAGACTCCTGGGCTCAGGTGATCCTTCTGCCTTTGTCTCTTGAGTAGCTGGGACTACAGCCAGGTGCCACCATGCCTGGCTAATTTTTCTATTTTCTGTAGAGACAGGATCTCACTCTTGCTCAGGCTGATCTTGAACTCCTGACCTCAAATAATACTCCTGCTTTGGCCTCCCAGAGTGTTAGAATTATAGGTGTGAGCCACTGTGCCCGGCTGCATAGTTTTTTTTTTAACAGCCTTATTGAGATGTAATTCATATACCATAAAGTCACCCATTTGAAGTGTACAATTTAGTGTTTTTTGGTATATTCACGGAGTTTTGCAGCCATCACCACAATCAATTTTAGAACAGTTTCAGTACCTCAGAAAGAAACCCAGTACTTTTTAGCTATCACTCTCCAATCCTCCATACCCCTCAGCCTAAGCAACCACGAATCTACTTTCTTCTCTCTATAGATTTGCCTATTCTGGACATTTTATATAAATGAAATCATATCATATATTGCCTTTTGTGTCTGCCTTCTTTCGCTTAGCATAATGTTTTCAAGGTTCTTCAGTGCTGTAGCACGTATCAGTACTTTGTACTGTTTCATTCTTTTATGGCTATATACCACATTTTGTTTATCTGTTCGTCAGTTTATGGACATTTGGGCTGGGTCCACCTTTTGGCAAATGTGAATAATGCTGCTATGAATATTCTTGTGCAAGTATTTGTTGAGTACCTGTTTTCAGCTCTTTAGGGTGTATGCCTAGGAGTGGCATTGCTCAGTCACATGGCAACTCTATGTTTAACTTTTGGAGGAGCTGCCAAGTTATATCCACAGCAGCTGTACTAGTTTACATTCCTACAAGCGATAGCTGAGGGCTCTCATTTCTCCTTGCCAACACTTGTTGTTTTCTGCTTTTTGATTATAGCCATCTTAGTGGTATGAGTGGTATCTCACTGTGGCTTTGATTTGCATTTGCTAATGATATCGAGTGCCTTTTCGTGTGCCTGTTGGCAATCTGTGTTTCTTCTTTGGGGAAATGTGTATTTAGATCCTTTGCCCATTTTTTAAATTGAGTTGTCTTTTTATTATTCAGTTGTAAGAATTCTTTATATATTCTAGATACAGGTCCCTTATGAGATTCATGGTTTGCAGGTATTTTCTCCTAGTGCATGCATTCATTGTCTTTTCACTTTCTTGATAGTGAGTGTGAGGAATTAGTGTTAATTCTTCTTTCAGCGTTTGGTAGAATTTACAAATGAAGCCATCTGGGGGTAGGGAGGTAAAAATAATAAAAAATAAATAAAAAAATAAATAAAACAAATGAAGCCATCTGGACCTGGGCTTTTCTTTGTGGGTAGTTTTTAGATCATTAATTCAGCCTCTTTATTTGTTGTGTGTCTTTTTTAGATTTTCTGTTTCTTACTCAGCCAGTTCTGGTAGTTTGTGTTTTTTCTAGGAATTTGTCCATTTCATCTAAGTTATCTAATTTATTGACATAGAACTGTTTATAATAGTTGTATGAATGTAGCTTATTTTAACCAATTTCCTATGGATTGCTATTTAAGTTGTTTCCATTTTTACCGTTGTAAACAATGCAGTGGCCATTTGAGCGTATCTATCTTTGCGCACACATGCAAGTGTGTTAGAGCACGGATTATTAGGAGTGGAATTGCTGGGTCAGAGGCTTGTGTATTTACAGTGTTGATTGTTTTTGCTCCATTGTCCTCTTTCTGCTCATCTTTCTATCCATATCGATTTGTATAAGCTCTTTATGTTGGTAATCTTGGTCTCCTAGAGACTGGAGTTGGTTAGAACGCAGGGTGTGGGTGGCGCATTTGTACCCAGAGTGAGTGGGAAGGGTTAGCCTTGGGATCCGGGTGTTTGGGGGCTGCTCCTGGTCAAGGGTGTTGGATGTGGATGCCCCACGCCCACCCCTGTGCGGTCACACCTGGGGTTTCCAGACCCTGGATCCCGAAATGCGGGCGGGTCAGAGGCTTTTTTGCAGGGTTGTGTCTCTCCAGGTGGCTCCGAGAGTAGCGGGAGCTCGGGGCAGTTCTGGCCCACTGGTGCCTGCAGAGGAAGGGAGTGTTTGGAGGCTCCACCTCTGCATGAAGAAGGGACCGTGAGCACTGGGGGACTTCTGAGGGGCCCTGCGTGTGTTTTGTCAGCGCAGAGCTTGCAGCCCCTGGCCCCACCATCCCACTTCCTTTTTCTCCTTTTTTGTCTTAACTGGAGTTTACAAAAGTGGCACCAAAGTAGGTTAAAGGTTTGGACAAATGCAGTTTGAGATCTTAAAAATAATCCATCCAGGGCCCCGGAGGCTGCAGTTCAGTGGCTTTCAGGCTCTGCTTCCCAAGCGTTAGGGTCCCAAAGCGGTGCCCTGCGGGCAGGGGACAGGGACAGGCAGAGGTGGCACATCCGGGGCTCAAGCCCTGCCTGGCTGCTCTGGTGGCAGCGGCTGTGCTGTCCCCAGGCTGCTACAGCCGGGTTCTGAGTGAGATTGTCTGTGAGGAGACAGAAGGGCTCTGCTGCTGCCCTAGAAGTTGGAAAAATACCTGTGCTGGGCGTCTTGGCCCCACTGTTGGGCTGAGAAGATCCCAAACCCGGTTCCTGCTGGAGGCTGAATCCTGGGGCTATCCGGCATTTGGGGGAACTTGGTTTTTCCCAGGGGCCCCTACACCCCCCTTCCTGGACAGAGACTGAGCGGCTGCTCTCCCCTCGGCCCGTCCGCCAGCCCAGGCGTGTTTTATTTCTCTTTTGTCGTGTGGGGTGTTCTGGCCCTCCAGCCCTGCAAAGGCCAAATCAAATTATCTTCTCTCTTGATCCAAATGAATTTTGTCCCTGGGGAAGCCCCAGGCTCAGCTTCCAGACGGTGGAGGCTTTCTCGGCCAAGCTCCTGGCTAATACCCGTCTTTCTCTCCCCACCCTCTTTGTGTCTTTCAGTCTGCGGAGTTCTTCGAGATGCTGGAGAAAATGCAGGTGAGTGTGCATCCCCAAGGCAGGGGGAAGCTGAGCCCCAGTTGTGGGTGCTGGGGGGCAGAACGCAGGTGCCTTGGAGGGAGGGGCAGAGGAGAGACAAGCACAGTCCCCTGGGCCTGGACTACCTGAGGCAATTTTGCTATTGAAGGGCACAGAGCACTTTGGGAAGATTCCTGCCTGCAGGACAGGGAGGATAAAAAGCAGAACTTCCCCAGCAGAGCAGCCGGGGGTTCCATGAACCCCATGGATGTGGCAAGGGTTTGACAGGGTGTGTTGTTCCTGGTATGAGTTGGAAAACAAACCTGAACAAACTAGCCACTTCTTAGAGGATGCATCTGAGGTAGGGGAGGCAGATCGGCAGGGTGGGAGGCAGACCTGGGTTCAAATCCTGCACCACACACTTACTAGCGCGAGTTCCGTGCCTCTTCTAAGCGTCTGTAAATAAATAAGAATAAAAATACCCACTTATACGGTGGTTGGGATAAAACAAGATAACATATGTAAAAGTACTTGGCGGGCGCTACATAACAGTCGGTTTGCAAGGTGGGAGTTCTCTGTAGTTACTCCTCACCAGGGTGAGGGCGCCCGGGTAAGAGCTGCTGCCCCAGGGCGTAGTGCAAGGTCAGAACTGACACGTGTGGGAAGAGTGGGGAGAGGAAGCCGGTAATGACATGCGTGTTTCAGACACTTCTTTGGGCTTAGAGACTGACTGGCATTATTTCTTCCCAATGAGGCCCTCAGAAGTAGTATGTTATTATTATCATGCCCATACCAGAGATGAGTAAACTGAGGCACACAGCTGTTAAGCAAAGCACTTAAAGGTGCACGGCTCCTTAAGTAGCTTCAGAGCCAGAGGCTTTGGCCATTGTATTATGATACTTTTCACCCTAAGTAGATGCCCCAGGGTCAAGGGATTCTGTAGTAATGGTCCGGAAGTTCTAGGAAGAGAGGCAGATACGGTGTCCAAGGCAGATCTGAGATACAGGTGAAGCGGCCAGGTCTCCTGACGGTGGGGCGGGGAGGGGCTGTTTGGAGGAAAAATATTATTAGTGGTCGTGTCATTACCACAAGCAAGTTATTAAGATCCTCCTCCACACCCAGCAGTGTGTGGACTGCATACGCACACACTTTTAGGCAATTTATAATCAAGTTGAAGAAGCAAGGGTGGTGTGTGTGGTGACAGCAAGTAGTAGGGGACAATGTATAATTAAATGCTCCATTGCCGGGAGCAAAGCTGGGGTTTCACCTCCAGTGACTGGGACCCTGGCACTCTGGGGAGCTGGCAGGGCTGGGGGTTTGCTGCTCACTCTGCCCTCTCTCTGGTTGTCCCCCCATCCACCCCTCCTCACCCCCAGCTGGAGTCCCCCGCCCCCACAGAGGGTGTCTCTGTTTGAGCACATAATTCAGCCCTACTTAACTGGCTTCCTATGGGTCAGTCTGTTGTTTAGAGGCTGCTGGGCATTGTCTTCTCAACTAGCTTGGGGGCTGCTGGGGGCCAGGGGGCTCGTTTTAGTCTCCCTCTGCGTCTCCACCACAGCTGGTACCTGTGGGCAGGTTCCCGTTCCGTCTCAGCTGAGACCGCTGAGGCCAGACTCCCCAGTGTTACGTATTTGCCATGTGCACTGCTCTTCCTAGAACGCCCTGCTTTGCAGAGGGCTCATGGTTTCCAGCAACTCTGTAGGAAGCTCTCAGGTGACGTCAAGTGACGGTGACGAAGTGTGCTGCGTGGTCCTGGGTGTGGGCTCTGTCTCTCCTCCCCTTGCAGTTGTGGAAACTGAGCCTCAGAGCAGCTGGGTGGTCAGGTCACTCTGCTGGTTGTGCAGAGCTGAAACTAGGATCGGGGACTCCTGGTTCCCCCGCCCTAAGAGTCTAGGAATTCGGGGGAGGGTACAGTCCCTGTGACACCGGAGCGTCTAAGTGCACAAGCTTTGGGTCCTTTCAGTGCTGAGGTTCTGTTCTGACCCTGACGCTTTCTAGCTGAGTATCTTTGGGGAAGTCACTTTCCCTCTCTGAGCCTCAGTTTCTTCACTGGGGAGGGAGAAGTCGAAATAAAGGTGATACCTGTTGCAAGGGTAACGCACAGAGGAGGGGAGTGCCCAGCTCGGCAGTGGCTTTGTGTGCAGGAGGGAGTGGAATGGCAGGGGGGAAGGGAGGAGGTTTGCTCTCCTGCCCTAGGGCTGTTCCCAGACAAGGGTGACTAATGCAGGACAAACAAACTCCTGACATCACTCCCCCACCCCCATCTGCCCAGCGTGCCAACCTGGACAGGGTCTGCAGGGCCACCCAGGTGGCTTTTCCTCTGTGTGTGAGAAGAGCACCTGTCCGGTGGGAGGAGCCCTCCCACGCCCTCCTGAACAATGTTGCGGGGTGACTCAGTCTGGAGAAATCCCGAGGGGCCGTGTCTAAATCCACCTGGGCATCAGGAGCCCTGGCGCCCGAGGTGTGCGGGGTACGGTGGGCAGGTGACCTGGCTTCAGAGCCAGGCCCTGCCGCTCGCTGGCTGTGTGACCATAGGCAAGCGGCCTCCTCCTGGGGGCTGGGTTTCCTCCCTGGTGAAAAGGTGCTGTGAGTTTCAGAGGAGACCGCAGAGGGAGCTCACTTTGGAAGGTTAAAATCCTTAGTGGCTCGGGCGGGACTGCTTCAGAATGCTCTCTGCTCCGGAGGGGAACTGTTTCTCTCCTAGTTTGTCCACCGTCTCATGCCCTCACCTGATTTATTCAGATGGTCTTGGGAATGCCATGTGTTTCCACCTTGCACAACCCGGTTAATTCAGAACTCGACTACGGGACCACTGGACGAGGGCTTGCACCTGCTGCTTGCAGTGGTCCTCGCACCTGTGCAGTGGAGGGGGGTGTTATAATCCTCATTTTATAGATGATGCCACGGAGGCTCCGAGAGGCTGAACTTTGTCAAGGGTCGCAAATAGTAAGCTCGTAGAGGGATGAAGCCCAGGCCCGGGCCTCCTGCCTGTCTCTGCAGGCCCTCCCGCCTGGGAGAGGCTGGAGCTGGTTGATGTGAGGCCCAGAGGGCTGGCTCTGACACCGACAGACGGGGTTCCTGCCTTTCCCCTTTCCCCAGTGGCTCTGTGAAGACATTTGAGCTCCAGGATGGTGTGTGACTGCCGACCTCACCGTGATAGCCAACAACAACCCATTGCATTTACTCTATACCAATCAGTGATCCAAGTGCTGACATTATTAACTTTCAACCTCGACTACATTAGTAGGTTCCATCATCTTGCCCACTTTACAGATGAGGACACTGAGTCACAGGAAGGTTCCTGTGACTTGCCCAAGGTCATAAGGCCAGTAAGAAAGTGGCCGTGTTGGGATTTGAACCCCGGTGGTCTGGCTCTTAACCCAGCCACCCTGCTGCCTCTTCCGAGGCTGCTGGGAGGGCTGCCAGGGGCCAGGTGTGTGCTGCGCAAGGGCTCAGCATGTGCCGGCTGTTGCTGCTGCTGTTATTACTAACCCCTGGCGACGCCAGGTGCTCAAGAGACGCCTCGCTCTGTTTGCCCCTTTGTGCGACCTTTGCTTTTCTATGGATCCTCTCTTCCTTGTTTCCGCAGGGGATCAAGCTTGAAGAGCAGAAGCCGGGACCCCAGAAGAACAAGGTGGGCTGGGTGGGTGAGTGGCAGCCAGGAGGCCCCGGCGAGGGGCCAGGGTGCGAGCAAGGCAGGAGGAGCAGCCCGGGTGCTGGGGCCATCTGTCTCTCACCCGCCTGACTCTGACCTCCACCCAGGGCCACTTGGGTGACCGCACCCTTGTTAGGCTGGCACATGGGGAGTAGCACAGGGGGCCCTGGCTTGATGCCATTAGGGCAGCTTCAGAGCAGGCTGGGACCTCAGGCTTGGCGGCCCGGCCCCACCTCGCCCGTCCTGCGCGTGTTGTGCACAGCGTTTGGGGCATCAGGCTCGTGCTGGGCCCAGGCTCCCGTGGGCAGTTAGCTTTGGGTTCCATTCCCAAGGCCCCGGGGGTGCAGCCCACTGCTCGGAGGTCAGTCCCCTTGCCTGGAGCGGGGTGCTGGGTCAGACTAGGAGTCATCTTCCTGTTAGCATTCTAGGGTGAGAAGCTCAGCACCTTTGTATACTGCGTCTTTCCTTCTCTAGCAGGGTTTGTGTTCAGGTTCTGTCCATTTAGAGAATAGCTCAGGGGATGGCAGATCCCAGAGCTGCTTCTAAGCTGTGTTCCCATCTGCTGTTCTTTACCTCAAAGCCCTGGTGCAGCCTGGCAGGCCCCCCAGTGCCCCCCCCCAACATACACACCAGACCTGGAAGAGGGAAATGGAGACTTTCTGGGCACTGCCGGGACTAACAGTGGTGTCCTTGGTTTGTCTTGCAGGATGACTATATCCCCTACCCCAGCATCGACGAGGTAGGAGCCCCGCTGGCCACTCTGCAATCTGCTCTGGGTCCCATTCCTAGGGAGGTGATGGTGACGATGGTGATGGACCCTGCCTGCCCCACACGGGAGAGAACCTTGGGCCTGGGGCCTCTTCCATCTTTGCCTACGTGACCTTAGCGTTCTCATGTTTAAATCTGGGGTGTCCATCCGGGCCTTGCAACCCTGGGGCTACAGGGTCAGCGGCTGCAGCTGGAAATGGCTTAGGGGAGGGGTCTGTGTTACCACCTTTGGCCTCAAATACTAGGCTCCCCTCCTGGGGCAGTCTGGAGGTGGGTGGGAGGGGACACCACCACTGCCATCCCTTCCTCCCCTGCAGTCCCAGGGTCAGCTGCAGCGCAAGATCCCCCCTCTGCCTCCAGGTTGTGGAGAAGGGAGGCCCGTACCCTCTGATCATCCTGCCCCAGTTTGGGGGCTACTGGATCGAGGATCCGGAGAACGTGGGCACACCGACTTCGCTGGGCAGCAGCATCTGCGAGGAGGAGGAAGAGGACGGCCTCAGCCCCAACACGTTTGGCTACAAGCTGGAGTGCAAGGCTGAAGCCAGGGCCTACCGCAGGCACTTCCTAGGGAAGGTGAGGCCGGGGCCCTGGGCGAGAAAGGCTGCTGGAGGGGGCCCCAGTCTTCCCTCCAGTGCTCCCCACCCGTCCCCAGTTCTGTCCCTCCATGGCTCCTGGCCCTGTCTTCGTGGGAGAGGTCAGGCTGGCTCTGTCCTGGGGGCAGGGGCCGGGAGTGGTGCAGAAGGCAGGGAGGCCCAGCCTGAGGGTCCTTGTGCGGACCGCCCCCAGGAGATGATGGGATGGGTAGTGTTTGGGGTGGAGGAGGGCGGGGTGGAGTTCAAGGAAAAATATGTTCTCACGCCGACATGGAAGTCTCCATTTCCATCTAAATAGTGTGAATCTCTCTCGTCCTCATTCAGGCAGGCCCGGAGTCCTTGTACTGAACGGTGTGCTGTGAGCCTCTGGCTGCTTGCAAGTGGCAGAGCTATTTCCTTAAATACATTTCTGCCCTTCAGACTCACCAGATTCCTGGTGTCCTCAGGGCAGATTCCGGAAGTCCCTAGCTTAAGGCGGCTTTGTGGCCTCCCGTGGGAGGAGGCTGCGTCTGAACCCCCAGGGATCTTGCTACCATGCAGATTCCAGGGCCCCCGCTCTGAGTCAGCGGGTCTGGGGTGGGCTCCGGGGTGGGCGGCTGTGTGTTCAGACCCTGTGCCCTGATCTGGGGACAGGCCGCTGGGCCGGAGTGCCCCTCCGCTCCCCGTGGGAGCCAGGGTGCCAGGTGCCAGGGCTCCTCCCAGCTTTCTTCCCTGAAATCTTCTGAACTGGTGAGGGCTGCCCCTGGGAGTGAGAACATGAACTCAGTATCTTGTGGTGAAGAACTTGAACTTCGGAGTCAGGACAGACGTGGGTTTGAACCCCGGATCTGCCACTTGCCAGCTTTGTGCGCCTGGGCGGTTACGTAACCTCCCGTTGCGCTGGTTTCTCCATCTGTGAAGTGGGGACAGTGACATGAGCTCCTGCAGGAAGCTGTGGTTAGGATTAAAGGATACGACGGGTACTAAGCCCTTAGCACAGTGCCCGGCACAGCCCGAGGCCTCAGCGCTTGGCGCCTGTCACTGTGGCCAGCGTCATTGTCATCATCTTTGGTGGCAGCCACAGCAGTGGCCACCTTCCCTTCCTGGTTGCTGTGGGGCTTCTCACGCCCCGTGGGGGAGAGGGTTTTGGGGCACAAGTCCGGAAGTCTCCCTCTTTCCCGGCTCACACCGGGTTTCTCTTTCTAGGATCATCTGAACTTTTACTGCACGGGCAGCAGCCTGGGGAACCTGATCCTGTCCATCAAGTGCGAGGAAGCTGAAGGGATCGAGTACCTTCGGATCATTCTAAGGTGGGGCTGTTGTTGCCCTGTGCAGGGGCCATGCCTCTTCCAGGCAGGGCTGCCTTAAGTGGCGGGGGACCCAGAAATACCAGTCCGACCAGTCTGGGGGGCAGGTTGGCTGGACTCCTGGGGCTGTCTGCAGTTGCCAGGCAGGGAGACCCAGCGGCCAGCTGGCTGCGTGCCCCTCTGGCTGGCGGATTGGTATCCTGGTCTCAAGGTCACCTGGATCTCAGCCCTCCTGCCCCTCTTTCTTGCAAGGCTGTGGCTCCGAGGAATTTGGGGAGATGAAGCAGGGTGGCTCTGTGTGGCTCATCCTGCTGAGACACAGCTCCGAGTCCTGGGAGAGGGTTAGCCAGCGCGCTCACTGCCTGTGGTGTATATCTGGTTGGGGAAGATAGGTCACCAAGCGTCTGTGGTCTGTGGCGTGTGCTGGGTTCCCTCAGATGGAGTGACATTCACAGCAGGAGCGCTGATTTATAGCTGCAGCCAGGGCACCTCTCTCTGGACTGTGACCTCTTCAAGGGCAGGAACTGGTTCGCTCTTGGTTCAACTAACATGTTTTGTAAAACCTACTGTACCAGAAACTGAAATAGGTGCTGGGGATACAGGGGTGACTTGAGACGTGGTCTCCGTTTTCTAAGGGCTTACGGTCTAGCATGAGAGAAAAAACAGAATTTTAATATGCTGTGGGAATTATTTTAGCGATATGCCCAGGATGCTGGGGGAGCGCAGAGGAGTCTGTGTCTTATTTATCTCTATCCCTGGTGGGAGGTGGAGAAGCCAGGAAGGCCGAGATCTGGTGCCTAGCAGGGTGCTATGAACCTGTCACGCTCTCAATCCACATTTCTCTAATCTAACTGGAAGTTCTTAAAGCTATTTGGAAAAGAACAATGGCATTTTTTTTTTCTGCCCAAATTTTTGAAATACACATGGGAGGGAACAAGGACACATCACCTTGCCTTGGGAGAGGTAGGAGGGGAGGTGGTTTGAGGAGGTTGTCAGCATCCATCCAATCTTCTCATTAAGGAAGGAAGCAATTTTCTTTACCGAGGTCCACTTGACTGGAAATCGTATTTGCAAGACATAGAACAGTCAATTAAATAGCTAGAGCCAATTTTCTGAAGGGTAATACCTGGATCCCCGTCTCCAAATAGGATTTCTAGCTATTAAAATTGCTTCCCTTCTTAATAAAAATCAGACCAAGATTGGGTAGGATTTCTGCATAATATGACAACTGAACGCCAGGATCTAACCTCCACCCCTGCCTTTTTCTAATTCTATATCCTATCTGAAATGCTGCTTCAGGGCTGGCAGTTGGAGAAAGATGCCAGGCACACAACACATGCTTTGATGGTTTTGTGTTTTTGTTTTGTAGTCTATGGGACAGTTAGAACTAAAAGTAGGTGATAATGAGAGTTGGAACCCTAGTTCTCCTTCCTTGGAAAGCAGTGTACTATGGGAATGTATGAAATTGGAGATTCTAGAAGAATGCTGAACTCTTTAGGGTAAGACAAGCCCTGGAATGGCCAGGGATCTTTTCCCATAGAACCACTTTTGTTATGGTGGGTAAGCAGCATCAGTTGAAATCAATTCCCCCAGGAGCCCAAGGGCAAGCTCCAGTGTGGCTCTCCCAGTAGCAAGCCAGCAGGCAGGGTGGCGGAGAGAAGCCACACACCAGCTAGGAAGTTGGACAAAATCATGTCATGTACTTGGAGTGAGTGCCAGGCCAAATTGGAAACCAGACATAAAAAATTGGCTCCATGGGTTAGCAGCTTTACCAGACACAGAGAAGAAATTATCCAGAGATGAAATTCTCTGCTGGCAGTGACTCCTGTCCCAGCCTCTTCCTCATTCCCCACAAGCTTCTGGATTATTTAGTTGATGTCCCAAATTTGTAACAAACCAGCTCTCCCTCCTAAAATCTGAGTATTCTAACAGCCTCTGTGTATGTCATGAGAGTAGCCAGGAAGAATCTGTCCACAGCTGGAAGACAACAAGCTTGTGTACATTTCTCCTTTTTCAAGTGAGGATATAAAAAAGAAGAAGAAGAAGAAGAAGGAGAAGAAGAAGAAAATCTCTTCTTCTTTAGGTTGTAAAAGAAAAGGTTCTGCATCTAAAAAAGCATAAACTAGCTAGAGAAATAACAGAGCTTAGAAAAGTATTTACTTTTACAGAAAGCCAGGTAAAGTTGAGATATTTATTAACTTTGTATTTTCTACAAACTTCTAGAAAAAATGAACACTATGAAAGAAAAGATGAGACAGAATCAGCCAACAGAATGAGATGAAAAGGTTGCTTGATAAGTTAGGGAGATAATAGAAAACTAAAAGTGGCCACAGGAATTTTATAATGGCATATGAAGCAGTAAAAAGCAGGATCTTCTTTGTAGAAAATCCAGTTAGTAATATGGAGAATAAGCTTAAGAAATTCGCACATAATTCAAAGGAAAACACAACCACTTTAAACTGATGAGCAAGACTATGCTGAATATGGTAGTGAGCAGGAATTAAACATGTGGATAACTGATGTTCTTAAGCTGAATGAAGACTTACATCTGCAAATCAAGTGACTCACCCAGTAACAGATGAAATCAGTGAAAAGAAACTGATAGCTGGACATATTTTGGCGAAAATTTATATTTCATAGATATAAAATCACTGGTAAAATAAAAACATTCCAAATAATACAGGAAGACAAAGAGTACACACATACAGAAAAAGAAAATAAAGGAATCATAGATAAATATGATAGAAGTATGAGTACCTAAGTGATGATAATAAATTTAAATGAATTGAATTCCATTAGTAAATAGCAGAGATTCTCAGTTTGGGTCATCCTTCCAAACAAACCCCACAAATCTTTCTATCTGTATTTTATTAAAGAAAGTAACTCAGAATATTTTAAAAGAAAAGAGTTAAGAAAAAGTTAGAATAGTCAAATACAAAAAGAAAGCAGGGTTAGCAATATCAACATAGAGAAGTATAATTCAAGGCAAATAAGCAATCCGTGTGATAAAGAGTGCTACTTGTCCATTCATAAAAGGAAAAATCTTATATTAATAAGATACCTTATTAATATAAACCTTTATATGATAAATAGTGTGTATTATAACATGGTATACATATATGCACATATGTATATAATTAAAATGTGGAGAAATTCACAATACAATTGTAGTGGTAGATTTTTAACACATATCACTTGACATATCAATACTAGGGTAAGAAATGAAAGGATATGGAATCTCAGTAATATTATTTATGTCAATTATATTTCACCTATGAATCACGACACTTTTGATAGGAGACCCTGCCTACTTTTCTGCAAAGCTTTCTTCCTCAGTAAGATCCCATTTATTGTCCCAAACACCTCCCCTGGATTCTTTGTCAACTGTGGTACGGCTGAAAATGGTATTCTTGTAAGTGCAACTTAAATTAGAAATAATCCTAATATGAATCCATCGTCTGGGCACTCTCTTTAATACCCCCTTCTACCAGAACTGCTGTATCTTACTTCCACCTGCTCGAAACCTGCCTTTCTATCAAGCTTTGCCTCCTCTTCTTATCTCGATGTTATCTCTGAAATCTTTTGATTTTAAAAACTCTCTGTAAGTAATTCCTTATTGCCCCGGCATATTAGTGAACTTTTGAACCACCAAACAGTAAAATCACAAATAAACTCTCTCACACCAAAGCAAACCACTCTTGCTGGAACCCTACTTCACCCTAACAATTCTCTTGACAATAGAAACCCTAGAACATTAACTCCACAAAATACTTCTTTAAAAACCCACATAACCATTTAGAAAAAGGCATCTCTTAACATATTCTCTTGACCCAAAGGAGCAATCAAAGCTGCAGTTTCAATAGATATTTATAACGTACATGACCATTTACAGTATTACAATCAATAAAAACTCTATGTGGTTGTTTCAAAGCTGTACCTTACAAGAAAATTATTGCCTTAAAATTGTTTCTTATTAAATTAAGAAAGAATGATATTTAAGTCTGTTGCTATCGGTGCGTAACCCCTCTATGCACTCAGTTTCCTCCATCTGTCGAATGGGATGGTTGTATCTACTTAAAATTATTGAGTGCTCTATATCCTGGTGAGTCAGGGGCCTCATATGTAGCTACTTAATAAAGGGTTCTACTATTATTATTATCCTACCCTCCATCCAATCATTCACTCACCCCTACCTCCCCCAAAAAGCTCACCGACTCGAAGGCAATCGACACTTCAACAAATATCTACCCCACCACGCAGACAACTAAACTACAGCTTAGAAATAAAAACGAACACCAAAATTAATTGATAAATATTAGGCCTCCTTTTGGCGAAACACACAACAAGGAAATAGCCACACTAGCTAGTTACCAATATAACGATAAAAAGAGACAACACATTAAAATATCACAAAATCTCACGGCATAAAAACGACATAGCTAACCACTCCAGGCTCGTCCCCCGACAGAAGGCTTCAAACTGCATTACCTAACCCGGCCACCGCTTCGTGCCTCTAACGCATCGCCTACCCCCTTAAATTGGAAATTTTCATTTGCCACCGAACAGACTCCCCCCTCCTCCCCTAGCGCAACCCAGCTAAAACCCTCTACCCAACCCGTATAAACTCTACCCAGATGAGGCTTCATCAACAACCTTCGAACAGACTAACCTAACTATGGACATCCACAGTTATCACAAACCGCTTCCTCAACCCCACGAATTTCTTTTCACAAATGGGTTTCTTGCCCAAATGGTTTACCGTATCTAGCCTGGTTTTCAGGTAGCCGTACATGTTTAAAACTTAAACGGAACCATATGTTCATGTTCATCTTAAAACTTGGTTTAAGACTTAACCACGAAACAATACTGAAACGCTCTCCCAGTCTAATTAATAATGCTTAAAAGATCTCATCGAAAAACAACAGGCAAAGAAATCGAACCCAACAAAAAAAAAAAAAAACACCAGAAACACACAGGTCAGCGCGCTAATATCCTTTTTTTTT